CTGAAATTACAGTTTAAAGTGTCTTGTAAGTAATAATCACTCACCAAACGAATGTATTGTTATTGTCGTTGTCAAACGTAAACAAATTATTCGTAATATTTTCTATCATTTATTATTTCTTAAATACGTTTTTAAATTTTCGCAAAACTTTCTTCATTATTTCGTATTTACCTTAAAATTTCAGATCTACGACGATTTCAGCTCCATTGTAAAACTGTGTTCCGCCGATGTGTCCGCCTTATTCAAGTTCAAAGTGAATTTAGATATACCTTTTAAGATCAAATACATCAATATTTAAGTAAACTAACATTTGTTATATTTTCATAGATAATTTGTTTTATGAAAAGATTTAAAGTCCTACCCATGGGAATTTCTGTTGCCGATTTTTTCTTTATAAAGCGAAATTTCTTGATAAGAGTAAGTACGAAATATTTTAATTATTTTATGAATTTTTATTTCGTATCTTTCTGCTTCCTATAGGTGGCCAGCGCTTTATATTCTATTTTCTCTTCAATGTTGCAAGTGAGTGGAGTGATGGCAAAAAATAGGAAATGTTCAATCAGCCGTACTCAATTTAATAATAGCAATCATTAATTTAAGTGTGAATAAACTTTTAAATAAGCAATACTTTTATTTCATTATCTCAGTATTGTCTTGCCCACCAATGACGAAGTAGATAAAACTACTGAACACTGGAAGTTGATCGTGGATTCGCATCTGGTTAACAAGCTGGCCACGTGGAGTCAGTAACGCCAGTAACGCCTAAATAGGGACCAGAGTCCCATAAAACACCCCCGGAGACATCGCGTTGGATTCATTGAATGCAATCAAATAAAAATCAAATAACTACTGTCCTGAATAATAGCATTGTAGTGAGTTAATCTGATCTGGAAAGATCGCAACCATAATCTCTATCGTCATTTTATGGGATCGAAGAATACGCGGTTGCACATTGCTCAAACGATGGTTATGTGGATCATGCGTGCGTTTCCCATATGATGTTAAAAGATTGCCGAACTCGTTATAGTAATGAGATTGTGTTATTTAGTAATCATCCAAAATGGACAAACTCTATTGGTGTATTATTATCACGTTCAAAAAGACAATTAAGTGTTGTAATTTTAATTGGGCACGGTTGAATTTCATACTATCTGCAGGGTAGAGATCTCAACTTGTGACACTGAGTTTATGCTACTGTCTGCTAAAAGATGATCTTTTAGAACCAAACTGCACGATAAATGTAGAATCTACTGTGTATATTTCGTCATTCGAATCAATTCGTACTAAGCCAACCGATGGTATATTGGATAAAGCAACTGAACACAAGCAAATTAATTAATTAAAATATCTATAACCATAAGGTAGATAATAGGAAGGGCTTATCACACCAATGACAAAAGGGCACAATTTTTTTTTACTTTGATTTTTGAGCGTTTGTGCCCTTTTGTCATTGGTGTGATAAGCCCTTCCTATTATCTACCTTATGGTTACAGATATTTTAATTAATTAATTTAATTATACTAAGGGCTAAAAGCAATTTCTGCAATGTTACATTTAAAGAATAATTTGCCTAGATCCCAATTGATAATTGAGCATGGGCCTTCATCTATTAAAAGTTAAAATAGATAAAATTAACAGTGACATCTGGCTGCATCATATGTTGTCACCACTTGTGCTCCAGATGTGTAAGGTAACACACCTCCTTTGTAACCACTCCCTGCATCTTGTAAAAATGTCTGAACCTGCAACTCTGTTGTTCTACTGTTTTTGCACCCTGTTCATCATATTACCATGCAACGTTAGGAAGAAACATTACTCCTGTCCACGTTGATATGCTTACTGCTCGTACAGTCATGTCGACGATTTCATCTTTATATTGTATAGCTTTAGGCATATTTTTTATTTTTTAGTTTAATTTTAAATTTAATATTTTTTCACCTTGTATAATTTTAAGTATAGTTAGACCTGTCGCTATTACCAACTGATGAGGGACTATTTTCCATTGGAAAATAGTCCGAAATGCATTTTGGATTTTTACGGTTTTTATACTTTGTAATTATCTTATTGTACAACCCTATCTGTTTTATTAATTTTTTTTTTTTACTTTGATTTTTGAGCGTTATGTCATTGGTGTGATAAGCCCTTCCTATTATCTACCTTATGGTTATAGATATTTTAATTAATTAATTTAATTATACTAAGGGCTAAAAGCAATTTCTGCAATGAACACAAGCAGTTGGTCTTGGCTTTGCACTTCTCATCAACGACTTGCTTGTTGGAATTTTTGAGTTTTGCCCACGTACTGTACCTAACACATAAATAGAACGAGGAATTAATTGGGTTGATTGGATTATTTTAAGTAATAAATTTTTGCTGTTAATGTTCTAACTTAACTCTCGCCAGCTCGCGATGAGTTTTGGCTGATGCTTCTCTACGTGGTGCAATTCAAATTCTGAATGACTGGCGGGACTTCGTCAGGGCTGCAGAGCATACTTGTAGGAACAAAACTGTCAAATGAATCACACCTCTACAAGCGACCTTTCGCAAGATACAGCTAAATCCCCCTAAATCAGGTCGTGTGAAGTTGCAAGGTTGTGAGTCGCTCCGCTAATTCCATTGCGTTTAACTATTTTGAAATTGAAATTTTAAATTCTTGGACTCGTGTAAGAAAAAAGATATAAAATTATGTGGATAAGAAATGCTAATTCTTTGTGTTGCAAAATGAATGTGACAAATGAAAACTCAGCAGAAATAAACTTCGTTTATTGTGGTGTATAAAGTAATAAATGCCATCTTGGTGTTTATCGAATACATAACCTGAAACGTCAATTATCTTACGTTAAATATATGTTTTGCAGCCTAACTTTATAAGAGTAGATCAGTGTTTCTCAACCTCTAACGAATCGTCGCCCCCTTCACTTCAAAATTCTGATGCCCAGGGCCAAGGCTAACGCCAAATTCGTACTGCATCGAATAGACTAGTAACTGGTATAATGTTATTTGTTTAATTATTGTATGATATAACAAATAAAATATCTAATTATTCTTAATATATCGCATGGAAAATTGTTTTTCGCACCCCCAAAATATAAATTGTTACTGATCGCCCCTCAACATGGGGGCGATATCGCTCCCGTTGAGAAACAGTGGAGTAGATTAATAAACACTTCCAAAAGAATAAAAATCTATCGTCAGATTTTTGACTAGTGATAATAACTAGTTGTGTAACTTTCCAGGCTTTTACGAGATTGTATTTTAAAAATAACATTTGTATTATTAATCAAAATAAGTAACTAAAATTGTATGTGGCGTCATCTGTTTTGAAATTTTGTTATTATAAAATAGGAAAAGACTTAATTTTGAGGGTAGAGATGAATTTTATAAAACGCTATAACAGAACACAGCAATAAAAAAAAAATAGTTATGTTAAATAACTCAATTCGTTATTTATTTAAAACAAAGACAATTTGTGATGTAACTATAAACTAATAGATAAGCATTTGATACTTGAAGTTTGGAATTATTTATCAGTATTATCTTGTGATTCAGACTTATTCAACAATGCAGAGGACATTGGTACTGCAATAATGAAAACAGGCGACTTTTCCGTCGTGGAAAGACTTCTATATTGTTTTTAACGCCCGAATTTAGTGTTTCAACAACAAATAGAAGTGTGGAAACTTGATTAACGTCTTCAACTATTTATATTATCAAGTAAGTGATTTTAAACAAAAAAAAAATTACATTGATGCAAATATATAATAAATGTAACAGTTGTATACATTTATAATGGTAGTAAAGCGGGGAATACCTTCCTGGAGTTTTTTTTAAAGGTAAGTGGCCCCTATTAAGGCATTATATACGTGTAGACTCAGAAAATTCTGGGCAAGGCGCAAACCCAGTGTTCAGGGAACGGAACCGCTGTGGCAACTGGTGGGACCAAACAATCTCTAGCATCTGTTAATTTAATTAAAATTCTCCCTTATAAAGTATCGGGAGGAAAGAATACTTCAAATTTAGCTGGTATATTTAAATCACAAATATAAAAGAATAAAACGTAATCATTGTTCATCTCCAATAGTTAATGTATTAACCCTTTATTAATCATTGTATTTACCTTGAAATTTACAAAATGGTGAGATAGAACACTGGTTCTAGATCAGTGATGTCTCAAAGCCAAACATACACTTTTGAGAATTTGTAGGCCGATTCAGATTCCACCATCCTTAGTCGAAACATACTGCATCATATGAGAACATTTTAAAGAAAATAAGTAAAATAATCTATCAATTTCCCATCATTTCTTAGTAACTTTAAAGTGTAAATTTAGAATCGTAGTTATTAGTCAAATTTTTGATAGGTAGTGGCAAATGGTGCAAAATCAGATGAAAGCTTTGCCTCACCATCACCCACCACAGGTTGAAAACCACTGGCTTAAGTAAATACATTAGTGTTAAATTCGTAAAAAATTAAATAAAATACCCACAATAAAAAAGCAAAACACAGGATTTAATTTAAATGACAAAATGAAAATGTACATAAGTACTACATGGTGCTTAATTTTACATTTTAATATTTGTCGTTAGATGAATTTCTTTCTGCATTGAACAGAATTGAATAGCCTTCATTCTATTCTATTTAATGCAGTATTTACACATTGGAATTAATGCTCTAAACAAATAATTCTTACATTTTCTACACTGACGTGTCATATCAATACTCTGCATCTTCCTCTTTCTCCTGGTTTGGCTTGACTTTCCATTTCTGAAGTCCGAGAAGTGTTGGTCTCTGGACCAGATGTATTTTCTTTCTGTGACTAGTCAAATACCTTTTGGAAACATTAAGGTTCGATTTTCTTTTATCAATTTGATCATACGTCAACTCTAACACCCAACTTTTTCAAATTTTCTCTTTTGTTGGAAACATATGACATATTTCCATTAGAGTGATGCATTCACAACCCGAGTTAATTCCTGCTATGGGGAATAAAAATTTATCACTGGCATTTTTGGGTGTTGCCCGAGCAATTGTGTGCACCTGTAATCTGTCCACCATATGTCATCACCTTTCGTTAAATTATAAAATGTAATAATTTTGAGTTTCGGTAAATAACCCATATCTTCTTCACGATGGAACTGCAATACAGATGAGCAGCACATTTTTGTTATTCTTAGTAATATAGGATACAAGAGTCAATTTTTCTAGAATCACAATCTCCAGAGGCTGGATGACTGAAGCATAACACTAAATATATTTTCTGGTCTTTGTTTTTTTCTATTCTCAGAAACCGATTCAAACTGAAAAGCAAAAGAAAAAATATCAGTACTTTTGAATTTTTCATAAATACACAATATAATTTTTGCGAAAACAATCAGTGTAACTATGACATTTCCTGCCAAAAAAGTAAAAACCTTGTCCAGGACAAATAAATCATCACATCTTAATGAACATTTGAAGAAATTATTCAAACTTATTTTGGATAATTAGATATATAAATATTTGAAGTTAAATACCATATTGAATTTTCTTACCATAATCCAAATTGGGGAATTTTGGCACTCCTATTTGATTCTGTTTATTCTTAAAAACTTTCCTGAAAATGAAAAATTTCTATAACAAATTTATTTATGTAGGAAGCTGTGCATAATCATCAATAAAAAATTCAGAAATACTTTCTCATCTAATAATAATCAGTCGAAAGATGGTGAAATTAAAAATAATCATCACCAAAACAGTCAAATCCGGTGGTGCCCGAACCGCAAGCCGTGAGCCAATCGGGCTCAGCACCCGTCAACATGGCATGCAGTTACTTTAAACATCACTTATGATTGATAGAAACAGACTTACTTTTTATACATACGTAATATGCAAAATATTCACGAGCCACCCATCTACAATTTATGTGCAGTTTTTCCACCCATCAAAAAGTTTGGGAACCACCAGTCAAAGCAATACAGTCAGTATAAGCTTACCATTTTGATGGTTCTAACAAACATGGTACACAGATAACCATGAGGACATGCTAGGCCAAACAATCTTAAGGCAGTCAGGACTCAACAGAATTTAACATACAACTTTTTGAGAAGTACACAACTGTTGATACCTGCAGCATTTCATAGGGGGAAACCTTTGGCTTCCAAAGCATCAGAATTTTTTTAGATGGTCCCTTAGTGTGCCCCATATCTGAAAGAATGAAACATTTTAAGTTCAAATCAATTTCCTGTTAATAGGGAAGTTATGCCACTGTATCTCCCTTAAATACGTTTTGTAATCCACTCTAATGAAATGCATTAAAAAAAAACAAATTTAAATTTTTTTTAGTAGAGAACTCTCTTCTATTCCCTGTTATATCTCAAAGATGGATAGAAGTTACTTCTGCCAGAAAATGTTAGCATTTAAGTATTTTCTGTAGACATCTACATCTAATTCATTAAAAAACAATTATAAATTAAAATATGACTATATGTAAAACCAAATGAAAAGTATTTTAATATACTTAATAGTAGTATATAATTGAGAGACTCTGGGATAATTTGTTAAAAGTTTAACATTTTATAACTTTTATCCCAGTGTATCTAATCATTTTGAGGGAAAGACATCGAGCAGGGGCAAAATATGATGAATTCTAGCATAATTTCAAAATTGCTCGACCAATTCTCAGATAATTAGTATCCCAGAAACTCTCATACAAGTTGAAACCACACCCTTTTTGATGCCCCTTCGGTTATACTTTTTTGCACAGTTTGAACGAGAGTTTTTGGAATAAAAAGTCTATGTTTTTTTTTATATTAACAACTATCGACGTGTTTTCTAAATATGCCTATGTAATTCTGGTTAAAGACAATAACAGTGTCAATGTTAAACTTCTACCAACCGGCGCTCTAACAGACCACAGTGTACCTGAAGGCGGCCTATTAAGAAGGCCGAAAACATTCGTACTCGTGTATAAACGGCTAAAAATAAGTGAGGAAGGTTTTGTATTGATCGTATTATTTATTTTTATTACTATCCAGTCTTTGGTGATTTGAAATATAATAACGGTACTTTTTATTGATTTTATGATCTTTTCCCTTGATATAATTTATTATTAAAATATAAACCATACTTCATATATTTAATTTTTTTTAACTTTTTTCAGTCCACTTTCCTTTAATGAGTTTACTCAAACAAAACGATATATGTTACAAATTTTCCCCGTTTCCCATTCCATATTAGGACCTTCTGGAAATTAAGTTTTTTTTTATGTAAAAAAATAATTTTTACTTAAATATAAAAAGATAATTACCTTTTTCATCTAAATATATCATCTCGTCATTTTCATCTTCAAAAATCAAGGGTTCTTTGAGATACCACGAGGGAACATTTACTATGCTCCATTCTTCCGATAACATTTCATATCTAATATAAAAGTTATCGTTTATTTCTAAAACATATTCTATACATTTTTGAATTTCCAATATTCCTGAACTCAATTTAGTATATAAACAGTTGAAAATCGAAGTCGAGTAATTTAAACTAAATTGTTGTCTTGATAATTCTGTTAAACAAGTGCCAACAACTGTAAAAATGTCAGTTTATACTTGTTATTTTAAGCTCCTTTCTAAAAGTTTTGCCCTTGTCCCCTAATTTGTTTAATTTCTTTCGTAATTCGGCAACTGTTACATTCTTTAAGACCATATTCTTTAAAAGTAAATTAAAACTTTCCATTTGGTTTCCATCATTTACACACTACCAGAAGTTAGGTATTAATCGAGCCAACACTAGCACTGCAAGTGACGAAATTTAAATCATGCATGCCCCATAATTTGGCAATTAGTATGTTAATACATAAAGTTTCTTTATTGCTTACAACTGTTGTTGGATATCGTATTATTGTCGTATAAAGTAGACAATAATATAGCGATCCAAACATTTCTCTGCACAGAAAGGGAACGCCAAAAATGATTTAAAACTCATTCCTGGAGCATATCTGTGCCTTTCTAAAATTAACAACAACAAATTTCACACACCATTTCACAAATCACTCACTAATTCAAACTTAATTATAGGATTGTTTTGATTAACAATTTACAAAGAATCAGTAGTCAAAAACATTTAATTTATTATTTAAATAAAAATTGTTCCTTACTAAAATTTTTCTCACATTTCTACACATAATTATTGTTTTAAAAAATTTGTGAAATAATTTGTAAAAGCTATTTGTAATATTTAAAACCATACGTTACCTCTTGATGGCAATATCAGTGTAGAGATATAAAAGCACAAAACATGCCACGGCTTGATAACTTAATCCAGATATTATACTCACGCTCCTTAAAATGTGTTGAGTTTGTGCAGTGTGTCATTCAGAGTTGTGTAAATTTTCTAGCAAAAAAAAAAAAAAAAAAGGAAAAAAATTTTAATTGCACGTGGTGCCATGCTTTATTACAATCTTATCTTAAAAATCTATAAATAACGATAATGATGCACTCACAACCAATTACTGTATGATAATGAAACAACTAAAAAACGAACGTTTTCGAACCCCTTCTTGGCTCTGCATCAGGTTCTTAACTGTTCCTAGATGGTCATTCGATTATGGAATAATGTTTAATTAAAAGTTTGATTATAAATTCAAAAAATTCACTAAAAGCCATGTCGCATATGAGCAACGAGTCTGCATGCCTGGACGAAACAAGTGGCTAGATCGAGTTGTGAATCAATTTTTTCCAGGACAATGACAAAACCATCTCCTCTTTAAAATTTATGCACGTAGCTGTGAGGCTGGATTTAAAAATGTGCATAGCCTCTAACCATTTGAGGTGTTCAGTGGGAGGTGCAGTGAGAATGAGATTGGCCCAGGAAAAGTCGTCTACTATGCCTGCATCTGTTACATAAGTAGCAAGAGCCATAGAGGTTCTCTCATGACAAATATCTGCCCGATGTTCTTGTATTCTGATGGCCATGGAATGTTTAGTAGAGTGTATATGTATATATATATATATATATCAAATCTCTATCGCATCTTAAACGTTATTCCATAATCAAATACCCATCTAGGAACAGTTAAGAACCTGATGCAGAGACCAGAAAGGCTCGTTTGAACATGTTCATTTTTAGTTGTTTCGTTATCACACCATAATTGGTTCCGAGTGCAGCATTATAAAAAAAATCTATATTATTAATTATTATAAAATGACTTAATTAAGCGCCGCAAGTGACAAGATATAAATCGTGCATGCCCCATATTTGGCATTTAGTATGTTAATATTACACAAAGTTTCTTTAACTTTTACATCTGTTGTTGGTTATCGTATTATTGTCACATAAAGTAGACAATAATATAACGATCCAAACATTTCTCTGCACAGAAAGGGAACGCCAAAAATGATTTAAAACTCATTCATGGAGCTTATCTGTGCCTTTCTAAAATTAACAACAACAAATTTCACANAATTCTCATAAAATGGCAAAAAGATTAATTTTGAAGTAGAGATGCGTTTTATACAAGAAAAAATAAATAACGAAAGAAAATTGCAAATTCTTTTATCGAGTAGATCAAAATAGATGAACACACAAACTATCATCCACCCATACAAAAAACACATTTCTCAAATGATTCTTATGTGATGTTAAATTCTGTATATAATGGCCAACGGAGAAAACACGGGCACAGGGCCGAAGGTATATTTAACAGTTCCTCGTCGGTTCCATTTTGAAAAGCCCTCGAAATGGAACTGACGAAAAATTATTAAATATATTGTAATAATATTTTTATTTATAAATACATGTGACAGATCTCGAATAAGTTTTGTAAACATTCTTCATTAATTTATTAATTTTTTGTATAAAATTTAGCAGCCAAAAAAATGAGACCTTGCATTGGGATGATGTAAACTAACTGCGAAATTGGAAACAAATAAGCAAATGGAACAAATAACATAACGAACAAAGATTGTGATGACGTGGTCACAATGTCGGGCTGAAATTTTTAATTAATTATATTTTTAAAATATATACTTTCGATTCTAGTAGTGTCTTGTCCCTGTACATCATACTTTTCCTAATAAGTTTTGACGGTCATCCATCTTCCTCCTGGAGAAAATTTTTGAGTTGAAATCACGCGACTTCTGTTTCAGGCAGGAAGTTCGTATATAGTTAAATCTGGACCTCCTGCCCTTATGCTTTCCTCATACCCCCCCATAAAGTAGTCTGGTGGTCGCGGGAATTTAAAGTTTCCTCTCGTAATTTTGTCCGAATTATTATAACAATTGGTTTCTGCCAGCAAGGCGTGACTATATATTAGTCGACCCCCCTATAACATTGTTGATAATTCTGTTTTATATGAATTCCATGTTGTAAGAGGTACTTAGATTTTACAAATACGTGTGCCTGGCTGTGAGCGGCTCACGTATTTGTAAAATCTAAGTGACTCGTACAACATGGAATTCATATAACACGGAATTATCTACATTCTTATAGGGGGGTCTACTTGTATGTTATTTGTAAGATGTAATGCATAAACCCCTATCTATGTCTCGTTACCGAATCTAAAGCGATTTGAATTTGAATTTTAAGAGAAAATTTTCATCATTTTTTAAGTTTCGTCTGAATAATTTCGTGTAATTTTCGAAAATGACACAAAAACAGTGTAGTATGATATATTTATTTGCTTTTTATCTACATAATTGAAGAGTAATATTAAGCATTGCTGATTGAAATTATCAAGGTGAAGATCGTTTCTAATACGAAAAATACTGAAATAATNCAACAAATTTCACAAATCAGTCACTAATTCAAACTTAATTATAAAGACTCTGTAGTCAAAAACATTCAATTTATTATTTAAATATAAATTGTTCCATACTAAAATTTTTATCTTATCTAAAGAAGCTATATTATTAATTATTATAAAATGGAAATAAGCTTAATTTTGAGGGTAGAGACAAGTTTTATAAAAAAAATTGTACATACTAATGAATAGAATCTTCGTTAAGTCCAACCCCACTAGAAATATGACAACTTCCACCCATAAACATTTAACCACCCAAAATTTAAAAGCATCTATCACCTTTATACACAAACCTAGCAAAATTTCGGAAACCCTCCATTGGTTCAGGTCTCATTCTCACCATAGCCTGATTTGCCATAATTTTGCTCTATTGATGCCATCATCTTCATATCCTAAAACTATTTCTCTATTTTTATTATAAACTAGCTGCAAGGACCCGCTTCGCTGGGTTTTTAAAAAGTAATGATAGTGAAGATTAAGATAATTACATTATAGCAAATCTTACCCATTTTCACAGAATGCAAGAATTAGGTCCCCCGTTTCCAGACTAATTAGAGAATTTTTACGAGTCTAAAAATATGTTCAATTTCCAGCAAAAACCGCCTGTAAACCTTGCACACCGCTTTATATTAACACTTCCACATACAAACACCATTCATGTGCGATGTGTAGTTTTGGCTGAAAAGTGAAATATAGAGAGACACATGTCCATATATATATATATATATATAACCCATTTTCTCTAATTTTTCTGCACTAATGTATAAATGTATAAAATGTTGAATCAGAATTCTTTCCATGTGAATTTATACAGTTTCTCACTGAACACCATTGAGATTGACTTCTTTTGTGTGCATTATAATTTTCATTTTCAATTCTTGCTTAATTTCTTTTAATCTGTTTATAAAATTTCAAAACTTGCAAGCAGGTCATGAAATAACTCTAGTTTACTTCATTTGCTGTTAGGAATTACCCACAATACCACACACACTTAGAGCAGCCAATTCTACTATAGCACATCCCAACTGGGTTTTAATCTGTCTCAACTCTGATATATCGAATTGCATGAATGGCATTGACCTCAGTAGACCAGCTGAAAACCTCTGTAATGTGTTCATGCAAAACTGTTTGCAGATTTTGGAAAGTGGAATGTCATATTACATACCTCAGGTTATTAATAGGATATCAAATTTTCAAACAATCGATATTGGCAACACAACATAATAAAAGGATTTTCTTTGTCAGTTGTTTGTAATACTATTCTATGTAAATACAACATTTTGTTCATAAAATTAAAAAAATTCTTTTTATTCAAAGAATGAATGTCATTTTGAAAAATAGAATGTATTAGACATATAAATTAATTTCAATACTTAAAGGTGGAGGGACTTTTACTATTTGTTTACATATGTCTCTTTGCCCAAAATATGTATCAGTACAATCTAGGTCAACTAATTGCCCTTGTCCCTTCTACTTATTTCTTGTTTTTCTGTAAATAACATTGAATCAAATACGTCATTTTGTAATTATACCAATATTTTTGATGTATTGTAGGTAATAATTTAATTTTCTTAGCATATTATTTTTTTCTTGTTTTAAAATGGTTTAATTTTTGGTTTATTGTAATCTTTTTCAACCATATACAGGTATACCTCGACTTACGTCGTTCCTGATTATACGTCGTTTGTCAAAAAAGTATATGGAAAAATAAAAATCAAGTTTAAGTCATTTTATTCGACTTTACATCTGTCCGCCACAAATATTGAAGTCGTAATATCACCAGAAAAACGTTTAAAGCACATAAAATCATATTAAAATATATACAAGTATGTACTGTATTTACAGTACATGCATTCGTAAATTTAGATTA